CACCTGGAGCACAAATTGGGACACCTCAGCCACCCCCTTTCCCGGGGATAATGGAAGCTACCTCCATGCCATGCCTTTCTCTGTTCTGGGATTTTCACCAGCTGCTTTTCCTGTGACCTTGTAGTAATAAGATTCTACATTGGAATCAGGGCTTTCTCTGGAGACAAGTGGTCCCCCCATCCCGTCGCACAGCCCTCATGAGGTACACCCCTCTTCATCTAGTCAGCAGTCCCTCGGCAGACTGAGGCTTAACTGAGCACCGCCATGTGTCAGGCGCTGGGCCGGGTGTTTGGGCTACATCAGTGACCACAACAGAGTTTCCCACACTGGTGGAGCTTTCAGGATAGCCCAGAATCCCCCCCACACACACCGCATCTTCAAGGTCAATTTTCCTACAGATGTGCCAAATCCCGCACAAGTGAGCCATTCTTAATCCATTTCTGCAGACACAGCTCATGTACAAATGGGCCCAGCCGAAAATCTGTGGCGAGGATCTCGAGGGGGCGGTGACGCTGCCCGCCTCCGGTGTGAAGACCCGCTGCCCGCCTTGCAACCCGGGCTTCTTCAAAACCGACAACAGCACCTGCAAACCCTGCCCTTACGGCTCTTACTCCAATGGCTCCGGTAACCCCTTTACCACCTAGTCCCCGCGTCACATCCATCCCCACATCACCCACAGGAGTGGCCACGTGGGTGCTCAGGGTGATCAGCTGAACACGGGCTCTGTCCTTCTGAGGGAGGCAGTCAGGGCCAGGCCACCTCCGGGGACTAAGTTCAGGAGAACTTAGGGGGGAGGTCACGGTCACACTTGAGAACTACCTGCCCTCTTCATTCCAATGGCTAGTGTGGCTCGGGCCTGAAGGTGCCCCGTCCTTACCACAGAGGCTTCCAGCATGTGGCAGGGACGCGGACCAGGAGGTCTGGGGAGCTGGGATGGCCAGCTTGATATAAATACAATCAGAACCCGTCAGCCACTCTGCAAGAGGGAGGTGGCAGGTTGGTGTACCTATGTAAATGCATTTACTGATCATAATGTGACAATATGAACTATATGGATCAGACTAGAAGATACATTTAAGTTTGAAAATGAACATTTTGGTGGGCAAGTAGGATAGCTGAAATATTGGAATGAAGAGTCAGTGTTTATGTCTTGAGTTTGTTAAATACCTTGTCAGAGTGTTTTTGAGTCGACTTGATACAACTATGCAGCGGTGCTCAGCACCACCCTTGTTTGGCTGCCCAGGACTGTTGCCACTTGTCTGTGTGACAGCAGCTCCAGTCAGGATGGCTGCAGCCTTCTTACTGACCACAAGGATCTTGTGGTTCTCCCAGATTGCAGCCGCTGCCCAGCTGGGACTGAACCTGTTGTGGGATTCGAATACAAATGGTGGAATACGCTGCCTACGAACATGGAAACGTCCGTCCTCAGTGGGATCAACTTTGAGTACAAGGGCATGACAGGTGAGAGCATGACAGGTGAGGGCATGGCAGGTGAGGGCCCCTCCCTTTACCACGAGCTCTCAGCTCCCTGCATTCCCACAGGGGCTCTTGCAACTTCACATTTCTTCGTAATAGTGATAACTGGAGAAAAATGAGCTAGTCAAGCTACCCATTCCCTGGCAAGTTCCACTCCTCGTGGGCATATATTCTACCAAATCTGAGTTTCAGAGACAAAAGCATAACTAGAAACAGCATGCACACACCCCAGAGTCTTGGTCTGAGGGCTCCAGAGTCTGTAACCCAAGCAGTGGGATAAGTAACATGGTTTGTTTGGCGGTAGTTCTGGACACCTCAAAGGACGGTGTTATCTCTTTCTTCCAGAGGGGCATCTGAGTGCACGTTTGTCCTACACCCCAGGCCACTGAGGCATTAACTCTCTGCATTCCTTTTCCAGGCTGGGAGGTGGCCGGTGATCACATTTACACAGCTGCCGGAGCCTCAGACAACGACTTCATGATTCTCACTCTGGTTGTGCCAGGATTTAGGTGAGGAATACAGAGCTAAGGGGAAGCCCATGCCACCTCGGCCACATGCCAGTCCCACATACCTCGGAATTTGTAGAGGAGAGGGCTCTGGCACGCTGAAGAATCAGCTCAGAGCAGAGGGAGCACGGTAATGGTCGGACAAAGTGAACCTGAATGCTGACACAGGTTCTTAGCTGCTGCCCATGCTGATTGCCCTATGGCTCTCCCGTCCCATCTAGCTTCTCCTACCATTTGCCCACATGCTATATGAATGCTTCCTCCTTGCAGCATCAGATAAGATTTTTTTTTTAATTTTTAAATAGGGCCAGAAATGCCCATAGACAGTTCCTCATTATTTGGGGCAAGAACATTGGAAGGAATAGTTCTTACTGTCATATTTTCCCCCATATCCCAAGAATACTTAGCACGATAGCAATTTGTTTGCCATTAAAAAACAAAAATACTATGGACAGTGTGGTACTGTGGAAAAAGCACTGGCCTGGAAGACAGGGCACTTGAACTTTGCAACCTACTGGCTCTGTGAACTTGGGAAAGTCACCGGGCCCTTATAGGCTGCACTATCCTGGTATGTAAAACAAGGGAGACTGACAGACTGTGATTTTAGACTAACTCAGGCTGAGATGATTCTTCCAGCACATTTATTAGCACAACTATGTAGACAGGAGCTGGGACCTAAAGGTCCTCAGAATTCAAGCAAATGGCCAAAGCCAGAAGAAAAGCCATAAATGGATCTCCAAAGCCAAAGTAAACCTCCCCGTATGTGCTTTAAAGATGAGAGGGGACCACTGAATGGGCTTCCCAACTGCCAGTTTGGCTTCTCCGTTCCCTCCTTCAAACTCCCTCCTTTCCATCCCTGGCATGGTGCTCAGCCCACGGGAATTGCTCAAAAGGTATTAGTCTCCTTTCCCTTAATGTACATTGCTCAGAGCTGAGCAGATACATCTTGTGTGTGAGATAAGCAAACTTTTTAGACTTTTTTGGGGGTAACAGCCCAAAAGTACTTTTCAGTTTGCAAATCTGATTGCCACGGTAAAAGCTTCTGCATCTCACCCACCCACGCTGCCATCCACCACCCTCCCCTGCCCCTTTGGGCATGGCTCTCTCTTCCCCAAAAGAAGATCCAGCCTGAGAACTTGGCTGAAGAGATTGCAAGTTGAGATATCGGCTCATACAACCCAGGCAAAGCTCCCACTATCCCAGGGACTGGGCTGCTAAGTCATTGTAGACATTTTACCTCTTATAATAGTGGTGCTTCTCAAACTTTAATGTCCATACGCATCACCTGGGGATCATGTCAACATGCAGATTCTGATTCAGGGGGCCTGGCGAGGGGCCTCAGGTTCTACATGCCTAATTAGCTCTGAGTCTCAGGCCACACTCTGCTCGTGAGGCTATATAGCATTTTACACAGCGCTTTTCCATCCACTGTGCCTTTGGATCTCACCACAATGATGAGAGGTAAATAAGAAAGATATTATTACCTTCATTTTACAGATGAGAAAACTACAGTTTGGCTACGTCAAGGTCACATAGCCATGCTCTTTCCAACATATTCACAACTAAATCCTGCCCCTTTTGCACCGCCTGGCCTCTGGAACTCACTTTTTTTTTTTTTAAGATTTTATTGGGGAATTGGGGGAGGGGAACAGTGTTGGGGAATTGGGGAAGGGGACCAGCCAAGTTGTTGTTCTTCAGTCTTCGTTGTGGAGGGCGCTGGTCGCCGTCTGGCTGCCCTTTGGCAGCTCGTGGCCTCTAAGCTCAAGATGCCGAGTTCAGTCTTAGTTGCAGGTGGGCGTAGCCACCATCCCATGCGGGAGCCAAACCAGCAGCCTTGTTGTTAACAGCGCACTCTCTATCCACTGAGCCATCCGGGCAGCAGTTCAGCTCAAGGTGCCAAGTTCAGTCTTAGTTGCAGGTGGGCGTAGTCCACCATCAAATAGGCAATCTGTTGTTACACCAACTGAGCCATCCTGCCACCTGTTGGCAGCTCAGTGACAGCTCAGCTCGGGCGCAGCGTCACTGGCCCATGTGGGAATCAAACCAGCGGCCCTGTTGCTCAGAGCTCATGCTCTTAAGCCAACTCTTAACCAACTGAGCCACTCGGCCAGCCTTGAAACTGACTTTTAAGATCTGTGCCCACAGACCTCCACAGTCAATGACGGCGGACACTGAAAATAAAGAGGTGGCCAGGGTCACATTTGTCTTTGAGACCATCTGTTCTGTGAACTGCGAGCTCTACTTCATGGTGGTATGTTTTCCTTTCTTTGCTCACTATGGGGCTTGCAGGGCTATTGGGAGGGTTGGCCCCCTCAGCCCCATTGGTGCATCAACGTAACTGACACCCTGCTTATAGTGATTTCAAAGAGGAAGGGCCCAGACTGTCCGTCAGGGACTTCACAGTTTAAGAAGGGTCTGGCCAACTGTGAATGGCCCCTGGGACGGCAGCGTTATGGGCACCCCCTTCCTCACCAGCCACACAGACATCTTGTCTTCTTCACTTGTCTGTCTTGGGTTCAGGGTGTGAATTCTAGGGCCAACACTCCGGTGGAGACATGGAAAGGTTCCAAAGGCAAGCAGTCCTACACCTACATCATTAAGGAGAACGCGACCATGAGCTTCACCTGGGCCTTCCAGAGGACTACTTTCCATGAGATAGTAAGCTCCTCCCCTTCCTCAGACCCCTGGCTCCCATCAGAGACCTCTGAACCCAGGAGGATTCCTAGCATTAGCCAAAGTAGAAGTGTGAGGTTCAGGGTTAGAAGATCTTAAGGAGTCCAGCAGAGAGCTGCCTATTCCAGCCCCAGGCTGTGTATTTTACCAATCATGATCCCGTGGACATACATCTGCAAGGCATCATTTATACAGCCTGAAAGCGTTGCTCAGTTTAGCTGTGCACTAGAGGAGTAGTTAGCCTTGTCCAAATGACTTCCAGGGAAGCTCCTTAAATTCCCTGTCTCCTCAGCAGCCCCTGCCTTGATGACATGTGTGGTGCCTGACCTGGTATACCCTGTTCATCCCTGTCGTTGTTTTTAATAATAACAACTCTGATTTGTTTTTTTTTTCTTAACTCAAAGTAATGCAAGCTCATTGCAGAAAACTTAGAAGACAGAAAGGAGTGAAAAGAAGAAATAAAATCACCCATAATCCCACTACCCAGTTAACATCTAAGTATGTCCCACACAGGAGACACTACATTTTTTTCCTCTCACAGGGGAAAAAGCCTGCTTTTTTCATACAATAGTATCTACTGCATATTTCCTGATGGCACTTAATATTTTAAAATGGTCCAGTCTTGTTTTTAAATTACATAAAATGTACATAAAGAGCTACTGTTAAGTGAGTAAAAAGAATGGGGTGCTTCTAAGATTTTCTTCAAGTATTCTATGATAAAAAAGATTAAGTAGTAATTTGCTATTTCCAGAGAACTCAGTTGCTGCTGGTATCTCAGGCCTCCATCCTCTCGTTCCTGTTTCCAGGGCAGAAAGTACACGAGTGATGTCGCTAAGATCTACTCCATCAATGTCACCAATGTCATGGATGGGGTGGCCTCCTACTGCCGTCCCTGTGCCCTGGAAGCCTCTGACGTGGGCTCCTCCTGCACCTCTTGTCCTGCTGGCGACTACATTGATCGGGATTCAGGGACCTGCCACTCCTGCCCCCCTGACACAGTCCTCATAGCCCACCAGCCCTATGGAGTCCAGGCCTGTAAGCCCTGCGGCCCAGGGACGAAGAGCAACAAGGTGCCAGCAGTGTGTTGTGCTGTGTTGTGCGTTCTAACCTTGGTCTTCTGGACGGACCGCCTCAGAGGGTGCCAGGCCCGAGATGGGGTTTTTGAGGGGCTGAGCCCAAGCGCTCTCTGTAGCACACTCCCAGGTTAGAGTTGGAGGACCCCCATCCAAGCTGTGACCATGGATGGCAAAGTCTTACCTGTAGCAGTTGGTTTTCAGGGTCTAGGCCTCAGCCATGGACAGGTCTCATCTTCAGGAAATAAGTAAGGGAGATCTGTGGCCATCTGGTCCTGAGGGTTATTTGGCGTCTGTGCAGAGACCTGAAGGGAAGAAATAGTGGGGCCTGTGGCTCAAATTCAGCCGACTTCCATCCAGCTTGTTGTCATGGGAATTTGCCCCCTCTTCTTTGGTGAGGTAACCCACCTTTGCTGGGACATACAGTTAATTGGCATTGCTGTCCTCTATCCCAGTGGCTTCTTCTGAAGTGGAAAACCAAGCTGTTGGCCCATGTACTGTCTGAATCTAAGAAAGGACCATGACTAAAAGCTCTTAAGTATTCATTAATGCTTTTAGATGAACTCGTTTTACTGATCACAACCACATGGACAGACATTATTTATACAATCTGCATACTTTGCTCAGTTTTGCTGTGCAGTAAGGGCAACCATTTTACAGACCCCTGGCAACCTCTTCTGGGCACCCTGCACTATTGCCACCAACTGCTTCCCTTGGGGCTCCCTCTGCTGCTGTGGGAGAGAATGACTGTTGCGTAAGACAGCTGCTGAAGGGAGACCCTAAAACAGAGCAAGGAATGGGACTAAAGCCCCTTTTGACGTTCAGTTTCCTACTGCGAACCCAGGAAAGGGGAAGCAGGGTGCAGTGAGTGTGATATGGGGGCAGGGGCCAAAGTTTGTAGTGTTCTCTCCTGCCATCCTGCATGCCCTTCTTCCAGTTAGCACCTCATTGTCTTCTGCTTGAGGGGAAGAAGAGCTATCCTGTGTCTTGGAAGAGCTCTGTAATTTAAGCATAAGGACAAGGCTATAGAATCTGACCCAACTACTTACTGAAAAATAATGGGTTTGGGCTTGGACATCATACATGTGCTAGTAATTGAATGGCAAGATGTACATAAACACCAGCCCATTTTCCTTCTTTGAATCCCCACCCACAATCCTTAATTCCTCTCCTTTCACCTCACTTGGGCTGGACCAGGCTGGGTCTCCATTGGGGTCTCTTCCAAGGCCCTGCCCGAGCAGCTGGCCTCATGGACCGCTTTCCCCTTAGATCCACTCTCTGTGCTACAACGACTGCACCTTCTCAGTCAGCACACCAAGCAGGACTTTCGACTACAATTTCTTGGCTCTGGCAGACACCGTCTCTCTGGCTGGAGGACCAAGCTTCACTTCCAAAGGGCTGAAATATTTCCATCACTTTACCCTAAGTCTCTGTGGAAACCAGGTAAGGTGTGCAAGTGCTGACAGTGTGGGAATGGAAAGGGGATGCCAGTGGATCAGAGGCAAGAGATGGGTATAGGAGAAAAGCTAGAAAACCTTCAGGCAGGAGGAGATTGAGAAGATGAAAGGTTTTTAAATGATTATGATTCTCCCCGAGGATTCTCTCCCTAAAATTAAATCACTTGGTTTATAAAAATGTAAGAAAATAAAAGTGTTTAAAATAAGATGTCCATTTACACCTCCCTGACCTATAGACCTATATTCCCTCAAATGAGTATATAAAAACTATGCAGGAGGAAGTTTTTTTTCCTTAAAAAGCAGATTTCAGTAATCATGGCACTTGTCATTTGTTTTCTAGAAGCTAGATAAATTATTCTTAGATCAGCTGATGTATCTTTGCTGACAGTACAAAAGAAAGTAACATGAAAGGAAAGAATGTTACCACCAGTCATTTCACACTGCTGCAAATATTTTGGATCCAAAATTGAAAGGCAGAAATGTAAAGGGAAATCACACCACTAGTGCACTTGACTGAATTACAAACAAGCCAAGATCAGCAGTTGGAGAGCCAGCTTCGAACAGTACAAAATAAAGAGCATCTTGAGCATGTAGTCTGTGACTCTGTGTGGAGGGTAAGACCTGCACATCACACAGCTCCCACCCATCTTCTGCAGCATGCAAAGAATGTTTGTTTGCGTTTATACGGAGAACATGTCAAGAAATAAACTAACCTATGAAAGATTAGAGGTAGATGTCTCTATCTTGTTTTTTAACAGTCTTTGAAGAAGTTAAAACAAAGCCTCAGAAGTGACAGCGATAACTCAGGCATTGAGACTGATTAAAGCCCCATGTAGCAAAAGTTTCATTCAGTGAATAGGGAGAGAGATGCAGATGGGGAATTTGGAGAGTTTGTGTCTTCTTTTTTTTTTTTTTTTTTTTTCTCCTTTATTCTTTTAAAAAATGTTTACTGTGTACTCTCATACTATAGACCCTCAGTTCAAAAACAAAGTAACTCTTTTATTATAATGTAAAGGTNACTCACTAATGAAATGAGGACAATCCTGCTCCTTTTCTCCTCCCTGGGAATATCACATGGCTGTCTTTGCTTCCTTCTGCCCCACTCTCTCCCCTCCGGGCTTAGGCCAAAGCCTTTTAGATCTGTGGTGTGCTCTGCTGCATGCAAGCCTGGGTGTCTGCCCTCACTTGCCCACCTCTGGGGATTTTAGAGGCTGAGTCAGGCCGGAGTGAGTGCTCCCACGTTGCATGGCAGCCGAGGCTCAGGGAAGCAGCCCTGAAGGATGTACAGTTAAGGGGCACATGTGAATATGCAGTCACCAGGAACCCCCATCAGAAGTCTCGTGCCTCATGCCCACACTCATTCTGCTCCATCTCATGATTTCAGTTTGTCGGTCTTCTAAGCTGTATTTTAAAATCAAGGCACACCTCAAGCCAGCTCCTGTGATTGCCCCTGTGGCCTCAGCTGTGCCTCAGTGATTTTTCAGAGACCGGGATGGCCAGCCCATGGGGGCTGCTGAATGTGCTGCTCCAAGAGATGGCCCACGCCAGTCTTCCTGCTCCCCACTCCCTTCTCTCCAGGAGATTCAAGGAGATGGCCCGGTGGGACACATTAGAGCACAAGCCTGGGCCCTGGCCATTGGCTGCTCTTCACAGGGAGGCGGGCTGAGCTGGGCAGGGGGAAGAGAAGCCCCAGAGCTCACCATCAATAAGGCAGCAAGGGTGTCTTTTAAGACCTTGTCAATTTCTTATCCTGAATGAAATGGACAGATGCCTTATTCATGCACCCTTTTACAAGTATGGAATGCTGCACAGATCCTTTCCATCATCACTCGATGCAATCCACAAGAGCACCTTTTGTCTCTGACTTGACCCAAGGGCCACATGGGAAGCTTGGAGCTGCCCAACCTCACCCCTGGCTCACCAGGGACCTCTGCAGGGCATCTCCACTTCTGTATCCAATGCCTCCATCAAAAGGCTAGGGATGGCCCTAGTAAGTGACAGACACAATGCTTTTCTTGTCTACTGACCGATGGCTGACCGTTTCACATGCCTCCACACCCCAGCTTTACTGAGACATACCGCATTTCCCCATGTATAAGACACACCCTTTTTCGAAAAATTTGGGGTCTATAAACTGGGTGTGTCTTATACAGTGGTTGTAGGGGTTTTTTTACTTGCATGTCCCGCTTTTTTCGCACTTGTTTTTGCGCTCATACAACCACTGTATAAGACTCACCCAGTTTATGGACCCCAAATTTTTCGAAAAAGGGTGCGTCTTATACATGGGGGAATACGGTAACTGACATATAACAGTATGTGAATTTAAGGTGTACAACGTGTTTATTTGATGCACTTATATCTTACAAAATGATGACCACCATAGTGTTAGCTAACACCTCCATCACGTCACATAATTACCATTTCTTTTTTGTTGTGAGAACATTTAAGAGGTACTCTCTCAACTCTCAAGGATATAATACAGGACTATTAGCTGTAACCGCCGTGCTGTACATTACATCCCCAGAACTTACCAGTCAGGTAACTGGAAGCTTGTGCCTTTGACCAACATTGTCCTCCTTGCCTTGATGTCCGAGGACAGTGTCCAAACCCGCTGTGGGTT